GTAGAACTACTCAATATAACTTAATGCATCAGAGACTGGGTTAAGCCATGGTGGTTTTTATTATTTGGCCTGAATTGCAGTCTTAACCTTACCTTGTAGTCCAAACTCACTCTAGTAGGGTTAAAGCTTAAAAAATTCAAATTATTATTTGTAATTGTGTAGATTGTAAACTTGAGAGATCAAGGCTGTCCTGAAGGTTGACACAGTTCCCATTTCTTACTAGATACAAACCAGAAAGCCATGTGCTTAGACTTATAGGGAGAAAGATTCATATCAAGACATTAGATTCCATATCAGGTGAGTCTTTGTGTTTTCTTTTGTGTTTGGTTAGAGAGGTTGTAAGTTGCTTGATTTTACCTGTGCTAGGAATAATGGCATGCAATACAGGCAGAAAGTTGAAAGAAATAGAGGTGTTATTGTTTCACAGTTCAGCTATTGCAGTGCATTTAGTTCTTTGACCTAGCATGTTAGTCTCATAGTGCCTTGCTCCACCCAGATATACGAATGGGTACTGGGTGAAGTTCATACTGGGGCTAACCCCGGGGGAGGGGGGTACTCTATGGGCTATATACAGGTATACTGTAGGTATGTGCCGCCCCAAAGGGCAATGTTTTCAATGAGATTTGAAGTAAGGCAGCTAAGGATATATAGGTGGCCATAAGGCCACCTTTGCTAGGGGGTTCTGGGGGCATGCTCTCCTAGAAAATTTTGAAATATGATTTCCAGCTTTCTTTCTCATCATTAAAAGAAATATATTTTTTTTTATTTTCACCAGATTCGTATTGAAGTAAAAGGCAATTAAATACTTATTAAGCAAAAATGTAACAAAGCAGCACAAAACCGTTTAGAATCGTCACATACATGATTTATCTCTGTTTGGGTTACTGAAGTTCATCAGCTTCCTTCACAACTGTAAGTGTAAAAACTGTGAACAGGCTGGTCGAATGTATTTCCAAACAATGAACAAATAAAGTCATTCATTTCTTTGATTGATGGCCCTTTGTGTGGCTCATGACTTTCCAAAAATTGTGAAGATAACAAGGTCTTATCTGCAACTTCAGACCGTATAGTTTTAGAATCAGTTGGGTTGATTGGCAAAATTTCATCATTGGAATGAAGAGCTTCGTTTTCTGCAATTAATATTCATCTGTAAGCAAAGAAGAACACAATGGGTTTCTGAAAGAACAACTCCAAAATCAAATAACTTCATTTAATTACCTGTTCTGGTATGTGGTTTCTTTGAAAAGAATGTAAACAAATCAGTCTGTCCAGACTGTACAGGAGCACACTTTGTCACCATCATTGCTCAACCGACCACACAATAATAGTTTGAAAGCAAGGTTAAGTTTTATTACAATACTACTGAAAATGGCTGAATGTTTTGCAATTTGCAATCGTATTCCATTGATGTGTACGCTTTTATATACACCAATAGTCAGGGAAAATGTGAGAAATATTTTTTCTGTTTATTTGAACCGAGAAATAGGTAGGCTGTAAATATTATAAGAGTTACATTTTTGAAGTTTTTGTTGACAAACACAGCCAAGTAGCCAGTGTATTGACAGCTCACAGCCGCCAGAGCCCGGCGGTAGCCAGCTTCTTATGAAAGCGCTGGAAGGGTGTGGTATTTCAGGCGTTTTGGTCATACATAGGGTATTGATTTCGCCATAAATAGGGAAAGGGTTTTGGGAAGCGGGCTGCACACCCCCACCAGATTTTTCTGGGAGTACCCCCCCCCCCCTCCCCAGGAGCTAACCCTGCAGCAGACTGGCATCCCATTTTTAAAGGTGGGAGGGGGAGTAGAAAGATGCCCTATCAATAATGCTTCAGACACTGGGATAAAACGTGGTAGTTTGGATCACTTGGTCTGATGAAGACTTAACCTTATACCTTCATCGTTAAAACTCTCTCTAATAGCACTGAAACTTTCAAAATCTGATGGCTTATGTGTAGGTTGTAAAACTTAAGAGACCAAGGAATTTCATGAAGATTAAAACATTTGCAGTTTCACACTAGACACAAAACAGAGAGGCAAGGAAAAGAGCTATGAATCAAGTTGAGACATTGGATCCCTTATTAGGTGAGTCACAAT